GTTTCATTGTGATTGAAATTTGTAAAGTGCTTTACCTACTTAAAATAGAATCGTGATGTGATTATGGCATCCATCTTCATATTAAGAATCGAAATATGGATCCTAGCCTTATTCTGATATCTTAGATGTTTTGAACATTGTGAGATTGTATCAAAAATTTTCTTGACTGAATCACTAGAAAACTATCAAGAACATTCTAAGGTATTGAAAGATAACAAGGAATGGTTACTAGTAGTGTAACGACCCGAATTTTCCCACTTCACCAGCGAGGTTAGTTTTGTAACCTTTTCATATTAAGTTACCTTTTTAATTGTTAAAGTTAACTTTGAGGGGGCTAAAGTGCAAGAAATTGTTACTTGATCATGTATATGGGTCGTATAGCCATTTTCACACTTTGAGGGTCTAAAATGAAAGTTGTCATGTATTTAAGCTACCTTAAACCCTAAATCTAGGAATTGTTACCTATTTGTAGCATTAAAATTATAGAGAGAGTTTGAGAGTGTAAGAGCATCTTCTAGGGTTTGGTGTTCATCCTCAAGGAAGAATGTGGAATTTGTGCAGGCTTGGAGGCTTGATTTGTTGTGGTGTTTGGGGAACTTCTTATTCAGCAAACATCTAAGGTATTATTCCATTTCCAGAAGCTTAGTGCTCTCCTTAAGTTCATTTATGTTGTCCATTTAAACCATTCACAAGAACGAAGCCATGGGTGATGCAAAAATCCTTCGTTTTAGTGCATTGGTTGGTCTTACTCATGTCCCAATCGTCCTAGTCATTTGGATATGATTTGTAGGTTTTAAGATCATCTCAATGGAGATTTTGATCGGACCCAAACCAAGAAGATTAAGGTTTCTAGTCAATGATCAAATTTGTAACTGGTCAATTCTCACGACGTGATCACCCAATTGCCACGTCATGACAACGAGACTTTGATCGACTAGGATTGCGTCTGATTCTTGACCATAATGTAAAAGTTATATTTCTACGTCGTGATGACGGGGGATTGACTAGTCAAATCTTAACGGTTGTCTTTATCACGACGTGGACATCCTAGCACCACGACGTGACCACAGAAAGAGATTAGGCCAGGGTCGCGGGAAATACTTGGCTCACAACGTGACACTCTCTTGGCCACGACGTGAGACCTATATCGACAGAACCCTTCTTATTTTGTGTTATGTTTTTGATCAGTTTTTGTTGTAATATTTTAGGGGTGTTAGAGTACTTTTTTGAATGTGACTTTCCTCTATTCATAGCTCCACATAACTTGGACTAGAGGTGAGTCATTTCTTGTGGTTATTTAAGCACTTGTTTAGGAATTTGCATGCTCTTGTACATATGCATGGTCCTTATGATGTTAGTATGATGCCACGATTTGAATGTGTGAGATATGTGCAATATGGATTTGGGAAGTTTTAGTAGCAACAATTGATTTAGGAACCTTTGGTATGATAGAATTCTTAATTTGATTATTTTATACAAATAGGGTGTTAAGGCCATGCTAGTATTGAGGTTTGTTTATGATGATAAATTGTGATGATATGCATGTGATTTCCCTACTTTTTCTTACTTGAATGAAACTAGGAAATGCATGCTAGAAGTTGGGTGTTAAAAGGTGTAACTCTTTATCTGCTACAAATTGATATTATGAGGTAATTGTGAGAATATACCTTTGATGTATGATATGGGATGTAATATGTATTGCATTAATAATAATAATAATAATAAACAAGCATGATTAAATAATAATATTGGTGAGGTGTGTGTATACCCTTGTGAGTGAATTAATTAATTATAAAATTAATTAAAATAAAAAGGGAATACACATAGTGGGGAAAAAGGGTAGAAACCTAAAAGGTACGTGCCCTATGGGATATTGCACCTGAAGGATATCGTTGGAAGAAAAGAGCTTAAGCCAAGTTGAAGTCGAGTGGTTTTCTAGGTAGCCATTTCAAAACATGGTTCTGGTACACATCGTGTACGGGAATTGGAGTGATATTGATGTGTGTTATAAATGATAAACGAATCAATTGATTAAGTAAAATCAGTAAAAGATACACAGATCTAAATAATATCTGATTGGCTCAATTTCACGTCTGAAGAGTACAAAGAGAAAGAGGGAGAGAGAGAGAGAGAGAGATACAGAGAGAGAGAGAGAAATAGAGAGTACAAATGATAAGAGAGAGTCTTCAAACCGCTACTCTAACCTAAGTACTTACCCTATTTATACGGTACAACAGACGTACAAAAAATACAAGGACTAAACTTGACGTATCAAAACAACTATGCCTTGTAAATAGATAACATATCGAAAGTAATAAGCTTTCGATACTTACAGATACATAACAAAAGATACAGCTTTCGACTCTCACTAACTACTTTCGACCCTACAATCTCCCCCTTAGTGAGAACAGTCGAAACTTCAAGCTATCATCTTTAGTGCCTGCAAAAGCTCCCTGTGAATCTCCATGTACCATAAAATGATATTTCTAATCTCTTCCTTGTCTTTATTATCATTCTTTTTACAATTGTTGATTCGAACAAGAAGATTTGTGAAATGATACTTTTAGTATCTGTTAATATCAAGAACTTGAAACAAAAACTTGGTTAGCTTCCCCTTCTTATTCTTTCCTAGGAATACCATACCAAACGGTTGATGAATGATCTCACCATATTCAAATTCATCAATATTCGTTTTTCCTCTCAATAATGATTGAGGCACTTGTGAAGTCTTGTTAATAGCTAAGGCAAGATCAATGTTAGTGATATCCAAATACTCGTAATAACTACCAAGAAATGCCTTGATGTGAGCAAACCCAACAATTAAAACATCCTTGTTGGTCTCCACTAATTTCGACACATCCACATTGCTAAAAATATTCGTAATCATTTAATTTCATAAAAGGAAAATCTACTGTAAATTCGAACACCATATTATTTTCCCTAAAGACAACATAACGAAAGTTTTGTAGTAGCCTTCGAACAACGTAGCATGTACAATCGTCATCGCTTTCACAATATTCACCAAGGACCAGACCCCATAAATAACTTGTGATTGATTGGGAAATGGAGATGATTAAAATCAGAATTCTCTGTATCATAACTCTTCTTTGGTGCTTTCTGGAATTCTTCATTTTTTCCAAGAACTGCTATCTCAATCGTTTCATAGCACTAGTGCTTGTGAAGATCACCCTTGTTCAAACCAGGTGGATCGTTTGCTCTTTGCCTCAAAATGATATTAATTTGCCTCTGTTTCTCCAATTCAATAGCTTGTAATTTCTTTTTTTCTTCATCAGACTGAACAACTTCAATGGTTTTTCCATTGTCTTTCGGATCATTATTAGAAGTTGTTTCGACAAGAGCAGAACTCGAACCTCCTGCACCTTCATTAATCGAAACCCCTTTTGATTGGACTTTCGACTGATCAAAATTTGCTGTTGTTGAAGTTGTTGTTTATGATACAAGTACATGCTTTATTGGGATTGTTGTTGGTATTTGAGTCGTCATAATATTCCTAACAACTACACATGTTTCTTCACCAGAAGCTTTGGAGAATCCAACTCCTCTTTCTCCCCCTTGAGAAACTTGCATAGTACGTTGAGCATTAGTTCGTAAACGAAGTACCAAGTCGAGGATTGGATCCAACTCAACTTTAATACTTGATTCAATAATCGAAACCATTATGGAAATGGATTCTTGAGAGATAGAAGATTGATTCGAAAGATCCAATTTCGACAATGTATCCTTGAATCCAGAAAAAAAAACTTCTCAACTTTCTCAAACATCTTGTCATCTTTCTCAGACTTGTCTTTGAGCTCTTTGGAACAATCTTTGTTGAGTTCAACTAAACGAGTTGTTGCACCAGCTACAACATCAACCTTTTCATGTAACAAATTGTAATTTTCATCCAACTTCTTTACCTCTTTATACATCAAAGTTTGAAGCTCAAAGACCTCGAGACTCTTTCGTGTCAACCACCTTTTCCACAAAGAGTTCATGACGTTCTTTAGCAACATCACGAAGCTTGGTAATCTTGTAATTAAAACTTTGAGAGTGAGTAACCAATCTCTCTTCGTGTTTCTTATCAACATCCCCAATCAAAGTTCTTAATCGAGACTCTTATGCCTTAAACAGATAATCAACTTCAAGCCCAGTGACATAACTAATTCATCAGGAATATTGTCTTCTTCTGGATTGAACCGAAGTTCTGCAAACGAAACCATCACTTTATCATCATCATCATCTTCGTCTTCTCGAATTGACTTCTCAGCTTCAGTCGATTGTGATGAGAAAAGAGTTGTGATTGGTTCTTGCATGATACCATCAAAGATTGGTGAAACTGTTGTAACAGGAATTGAAGAGGTAATTGGTGATGTTGGTGGTGGTAAAGTTATTGATATTTCATGTGGTTGTTGTTGTGTTGTAGTGTCAACAGTATTCATCCCTTCATCAATGTTGACATTTGTTTCCTTATTAGATAAGTTCACAGTGATGTCTGGAGTTTTGACCTCCTCCATAACAAACTTGGTGTGCGAAACGCCAGATGGTTTGACTTGCGCCTTCTCATGGATATTTGTGTTTGGTTGTGCACCGGAATCGATGTTTACACCCGTATTAGATACGTTTGTAGTGACATCAGGGATCCTTGTCTCCTCAAAAGTCGATTTGACAGGGGTATCCTTTCTTGGTGAAGCATGAAAAGAATCCTCAATTTGAATGTCGGACTTATCGCTATCACTTTCATTCTCAGTTTTGAAAATTACTTCCTCAAATCGAACTTCAGCATGTTCATTCTTTCTCTTCTTTATCTTTTGCACAACATCTAAAGCTCGAAACTTATTTGTTGTTAGGGAACCAGGACTCAAAACTTCACGGGTTACAACTCCTCTTCTGGTAAACTGTAATTTCTTAACTCGTTTTGAACCACACTTTTTCTCAACTGGTTCACTTTCGTGTGTGATTACAGTTGTACTAGGAACAAGATCAGCAGTTTCAACAACCATTCACTTATCAGTCTTGACAACCGGGTCTGGCTCTTGAGTAGGTTTCGTGGTTGCAAAATCAGAAGTTTTCTTTGATGGTTTCATGATTCGTTTGAGTACCCCTTTACTAGTCTTCATGGGTATTGTTTCTTTAACAAACGCCTTATGTCCTTCTTTTGGCTTTTCTGCTTTTTTCTTAGTATTTTGAGCCTTAGATCCTTTCGATGGTCCTTCTATTACTTTTTGAGAAACCTTTTCTGGAAGAACACGCGTTGGAGTAGAATCGATTGAAGCCAAATACTGCACAGGCAATTGATTTTTAGGATCCACCAAGTTATGCATCGAATCAAGAATTCGAGCAACAATAGGAAATAATGTAGCATCATTCCCAACAATCTTTAGAGCCGTCATGGCAGGAAACACAACAGTATCAACACCTGATGGAACAATAATATTCTCCTGACTATAGATTTCCTTCAATATCAACCCCAAAAACCTAGCAATCGGCACCCCAGTCACTAGTTTTGAATGAGAAATAGAAGTGAAAAATTCCTCCCAAAGCAATGAAGCATAGTCTACATTAAGACCATAATACAGACCAGCCACGACTGAATAAACCTCAAGCTTGGCCTTATCAAGTCCAGAACTCCTCCCTATCAAAAACCTTAAGACAACACCAAATAGGAAACTTCATACACAGGGTAGAGTCGACTTCTTAAAAGAACTGATATTCACAAGAGTGGGTTGATGTCCCATTTCATTAAACATGTGGATAACCTGATCAATTAAGACTTCATAAATATTACCTGAAGAAGGTAAATTCAAAATTTTGAATTGCTTCTTTGTAAGTTTCTTCGTTTTGGAAGGCGTGATCTGGAAAGTAACAACATTAGTCATCTTATTGTACATAGCCGTTGAAGAAACAAGAGATAACCATTGCATCGGAATAGAAAATGTTCCAGAGAATGCAAAAGAAAGACCAGAATTGTTCAGAATTTGAACAAGCAATTATAGTTCATTCGGATACACATCGAGAGACGGAATGAGATGAAGATTTATATGTAGAATCTTCAACATTGGTTGTGAAATATCCTCATCATTGGTTGTAAATAGATCAACATTGTGTTGTGTAGCAGCCATCTCAAAAAAATCAGAGAGAATTTTGGAGAGAAAATCGACGATGAACAGTTAGGGTTCTTGAAAGTTTTTAAGAGCATAAACTTATAATAGGAAGGAACTGTTTCCTTATATATCAGGCGTGAATTTTAAATTCAAATCATTGCCCAATTAAAGAATGCGACGTGGAATATCGGTTATTGAATCGTCTCCATGAAAACCGCCATGTGTAAAAGTGATGATCACTTTTCTCCTAAATTCTCGTGAAAATCTTGAACCATCACTTCCACCAGATCTTTCGCTTCTCCCAACCAGATAAATACCGCCCAAAGTTTCGTTACCAACAGAGAAAGACATAAGTTTCATTGCCACAAGAGAACCATCGAACTATCCTTCAGCATGGAGGCAAGGCTCATGCACTTATGGGAAGGGTAAGTGAAATCATTTTCCAAACTTTGAGAAATCTATGTTTCGAGTTGGTAATACCCAAAACCTCAAGGATTTCAGTGCTTTCGTGTGCCAAAGAATAAGATAGAACCAAAGTAAAAAAAATATGGTTATTGTGATATCAAAGATCCTTTGATATAAAAGCAAGTGGATACTGTTCATTCAACATTAAGAGAGATGACAAATTGCTAGTGTGGTTTCCAGTGAATTACAATCGAAAAACTCTTTGATGAGTATTGAAGGGCCTCTTTTTCTTTAGGTTTGAAGGTGGTTTCGTTTTCACAAAGTTCACAACTTAACATAAGAGTGAATCATTATGTAAAAAACACTAGGATGACCAGTGTAGTTAAGAAAAAGTAGGTTTGGATAAATTTTGAGTAACGAAAGTGATAGAGAAGATATTCAAACGGAAATCTCATTTCATGAAAATAGAAATTTGGATCTTTTTGGGCAAAAATGACTTGGGATTAGTACATCTTATTAAGATCACACAAAGTGAATGAAAATAAGATTTTGAACATCGAAAGTGGTACATTGAAATAAATGTTTCGTGAAAATCTTGAACAAGAATGTACACCGTCAATTCATTAGGTTTAGTTTTGTTGGGTTTCACTTTCATCATAGAAAATGTATTTAGGACCATTAACACAATAACCTATGAACAAGAATGAAACAAGAAACGAAAGTTAGGATAACACTCGAAAGTTATACCCACTAATCGAAAGTTATTTAAACAATTGAAAGTAAGGTAAAACACATATCAATATCACATTCAAGAAAAATTATGTAGAATGTGGAAAAAAACATGCATCCATCATTCCCATTCCATTCAAAGTCCTTACAAATGATTTTTTTCATCTAAAGGTTTTGTGAAAATATCTGCAAGTTGATCCATTTTCTTGACAAAATGAACTTCAATGTTCCCATCTTCAACATGATCTTTAATGAAGTGGTAACGAAGAGCAGTATGATTTGTTTTCGAGTGCTACACTGGATTGTGACAAATACAAATGGCACTTTGTGATATTATCATTAGTATCACTAAAATCATTACCTCTATCATCATCCTCATCATGATTCGATCCACTTGTCTACCCCTTAACCATTGGATTTTATGTATGATGCTCCTCCTCGACATTTAATTAAGTAGTTAGATGCTCCCCTCAACATGCGAATCTTGTCTTTCGTTGTGAGATGAAGAAATCAAGTGCTCCCCCTCCACTTGATCATCAGTCGAAACTTGCATTCTTTCGATATTAACTCGTGAGGTTGATGATGAATGTGCATCATTTTCTTCATTTGTAAGTTTCAAATCATCACAATGTTTCTATACCTTAGGAATTTGATTATCTACAACATTGATTTGCATCAATTACCCTATCAGGAATACCAAAAATTAAATCAACATCGACATCAAATGTTAGCATTTGTTCAGATTCATCATTTGATTCAAAAATTATTGGTTACTGTTGAAATATTTGTTCATTTCTCTTGACATAATGATCATCAAACGTGAGATGGTACTACCTTCCTCATCAAAAAGAACCTGATTACCTGTTCCAACAGCAAGTGAAACACTAATCAAATTATGCTTCAATCCTTCCACATAAGCAACTCGATTCACCGTGAATTTCCCATTCTTTAATTTTCCATAGCCTTTGACTTTACACTTTTGATCATTTCCAAACTTAACAACTCCAACATTTTCTATCTTTCGAAAATCTCTCAATTTTTTTTCCTCCCAGCCATGTGACGCGAGCAACCACTATCGATATACCAATTTTCGTCATATTGCTCATCACATAGTACCTGCAATCAGTTAGAAAATTTTAGGTCCACAAGAAGTTTTGGGTCCTTGAACATTAGTTTGAAACATATTGTGCAAAGAAGAACTTAAAACCCAATTACGAACATTCAATTTTAAGTTGTCAATTAAGTCAACTTCATCAGCTTTAGGCATCGATATAAAATCATGCATTGACGAGGTTTCAACTTTGATTTTCTCTCTTTCAACATTTTTCTGAGAAACATTAACTTTCCACTTTCCCACTTTTGGTGTAGACTCTTGAGATGAAGTGCCTCCACTTATGGACTCATTCAAATATTTCTCGTAAGCATGTTGAATTTGCTCTTCAGAATACTTTTGTGATTGGTATTGTATTCCCTTTGCTTCAATCCAATGATTGATATTCTTGACATCATTTCTACCTTTGATAAAAGGAAGCTTTAAATTTTTGCTTCGAATCTGGATTTGGAAAATTTGGATTTCTAGGTTTAAAATACACATTTTCCTTCCATTGGTTTCCAATTCTCAAAATTTCTTGTAGGAAATGATTTCTAAATTTTATGTTGAAAGCGATTTTGAAATCGGTTTTGATAACCAAAACGTGAATGTTGTCGAAAAACTTTTTGGTTTTGAGCATAGCTTGAAAACCATTTTGGTTATGGAAATTATTGTGACCTTGTCGAAAGTTATTTTGAACATGACTTTGACTCTGTTGAAAACCATTTTGCTTATGAAAAGATTTATTTAGAGAATTCTTTATATTTTCGAAAACTTCTTTTCAAATTCATGAGATTTTTGTTTAAAAATATTTTGTTTGTGAAAATATTTTTCATTTTTCCAATACGCTTTATTTTGCGCCTTTCAGTTTGAAATTCCTTTCTCAGAAGCCAAGTTTTCCTCTTTTCCTTTGAAAGTTTGTGTTTTTGCCTTTTGATGTTTTATATCAATAGACAAGTTTTCAACACATTTGTCTTTATTTTTATTTTCAATAATAGACTTTTATGTGTATACTGCCCAAACATGTTTTGTTTTATTTTGATGTTGAAAAACTTTCGAACTTTTGTTCAAACCATTTTCAATAGTCGTTTGATTTGAATAAAAATCCTTCATCCGTCACATTCACATTGTCTTCATTTACCAACTTGTTCAGCTCAAGAGTAACCTTATCATCATTTCCTTTGGTGAAGAAGACTTGATTTGGATAAACAATATCTTCAGAATCCTTGAACTTTAGATAAACCACTGCATTTTATTCGAGATAATGTTGTCCTTTATCTTTCAACACTTTTGTGTACTCCTTTGAATATTCAAAAACTTGATCTTCCACAACGCGTGGAATTTGTTTCTCATTCGAAACTTCATCATCATCACTCACATAATCCTCAACAACAGCATAATCTTGAGAATATTTGGTTTTCAAAGATTGATCGTTGTTTAATTTCGTCACTGGATTATTATCTTTGCCTTTAGCCATTGAATTGACATTAATGACAGACAATCGTGAGCAATCAAGAAATTCCTCCGTCTCGATTTCACTAATATTCTCAGAATTACCATCGATATCAGAAAAATTTTGTTGAGAGTCAAGTGTTGATTTCTCAGTCACGTTCATAATCTTGACTTGTTCATTTTTGGTTAAGGTCTCATTTACAATTTTCACAAGATCATCAACATTCAAGCATACATTAATATCTACAATACCATATGCATATGAATCATTTGGAATTTTATCATAATCTGCAATCTTGCTTTCGTAATCATATGTGGTTTTGTCTATCTGTTCTCTTTTAAATGCAAGAAAAGGAAGTAACTTTCAATGTTGTTCATCACATATTTCAGCAGAATGATATAGTTCAGTTAAATTGCCATACAATCTTTTTGCAGTATTACAATATATATTTCGTTGTTTTAAAAACATGATATTATCCATACAAATGGTGTCTCTATCTACCAAAAGATTTGTAATTCTTAACTGTAGAGACTCCACTAATCCCTTCTTTTCTTCAAGTTTAGTCTTAGCTTCATAATACAGAGATTTGGATTTTGCTGCTTCAATACTCAT